AAACAAAATTAGAAAATTTCTTTTAAATTTCTTTATTACTAGTACAGAGGAATAACAAAAAATTCAAAAGAAAATTTCTAATTTTGTTTTGAAATTATGTTTTAGATTATTATCTCTATTTATTTTAAGATTTCACAAATGAAGAAATGTTAACAATAATTTCTAGTTTTTGTATAAAGAAAGTTTTAAATTTTGCTTATAATTTTTGCTAGTCAAAAATGGGAAAATAAATTTCAAATAATGTTTATCATTATGTAAGTTATTTTTTAAGGTAAGGAATTATGAAATACCCTATGTAGCTTTGCTTACTACTAGTACTGTCATGTATTGTCACCTAGTCAGCTGCAAATTATACTACTGTAATAAATTTGAACTTTAGAGAGCTTGAATTACTTAGAGAGGCTCTCATCTACTACTAGACTACTAGTATTCTGCTTCTGTGTGTTAGTGACAGTATAGAGGGGACCCAAAGGCTCAGCAAGAGGACCCAGGCTACAACTATCCTACACAACAGAAATACAGAATGCAAGTACTGGAACATAGTCAGAACTTACAGAACAGGCAGAGAGAGAGAGTGAGACAAGAGTAGAGTATATAGAGTGAGCCTAAGAGTACAGGACTACCTAGAGTAGACAAGATCAAGACTACAGGACCAGTCTGATCTTATACACCTATATATACTAAACTACACAAGAGTACTCAGGGAGTATAAGCTACTAAGAATGATAAGCTACAAAGAATGAAAGAAAGGAATGCTAAAGATAAAGGTACAAAGAATAAAGGGATGGACAAAGGGTAAGAGACTATAGAATGAACAGAGAATGAAGGAGTGGTCAAAGGAATAGAATGATGAAGTAAGGAAGGGTAGTAGTAAGAGTCAGTATACATATAGTCTATAGACAGCACCCCTAAGGGACAGAAGTCCTGAGTTCTAGTACAGAAGAGTGTGGAACCCTTAGAACTGAAGGTAAGAGAGTAGAGAACCATAACATTACCCCCCCTCTAAAACCAATCATTCTAATTGGTGAACATGAGGCTCAGTCAGTAGCTCAGGCATAGGTCAGAATAGTAGGGCTTGGAAATCTGTAAGGCTGAGTTTGTGCAGAGTACTAGGATGAAGCTGATAGAAATCTCAGATTGCCTTAGGAGTATAAGTAAGGTTCTTAGCAGGTTCCCAAGTGTGCTCCTCAACTAGGTACCCTTTCTAGTAAACAAGGAATTTGAGTTTTCCACACAGTAGCTTAGTATCCACTATGTACTCTACTTTGTATTCTGGTTCAGAGCTGATGAGTTCTGGTAGAGGTGGAGGGGGTCTTTGTTGTGAAGGAAAACTAGGATCATACATTGTATTACTTTTATAACTATTATAATCAATCAACTATTGTTACAAATAACTTATAATATAATTTTAGTATATTATAATAGGAGTTAAGTGCTTGTATCTCACATGTAATGTTGTAATAATACTATTAGTAAGTTTACTTGCTCTAAAACATGTTTTTAGTTTAATAGAAACTTTCTATATTTCTTACATTTATATACAATCATTATAATTACATTACAAGTAAAATACAAGTATTATTTTAGAATGTAATGCTTATGAAATCATTTTATTAGATTACTTTTGCTATTATTAAATACATTTGTTGCAACTTTTTTGTATTGTACTTGTAAGTTAATTACAATACTTTTAGTAAGATAATATATGACTATATATATTAATATTGTTAATAATTACCCTGTTAGGCTTATAATATAATTTAGTTTTATTTTAAAACTATATATCAAAGTGATTACATAATTGAGTACTGAAGATTGAGAGCATATAATGACACACTTGCTCTTGTCACTCCTTTCCCTCCTACCTCCACTATCTCCCCAATCCTCTTCCCCTAACACTATACTGTTACTCTTGTTCTCTCTAGCCTAGTCCTCTGCCTACAAGTGTCCTATTAGCAGGCACTCTGCCTACTTCAACATAGGCAATAAACATCACCATACTTGTCTCTCCAATCTGCCACTGTAATGCCTGTACTGAGCCTCAGATCCTACAATGATGCTACTGAGCTGACTATACTGTCCTTCATTGTAAAGCATAAGCAGCCAGTCCACTTCATAATAACTTGCACAATGGTTGCTCATCCCTCTCCTCCCAACTTTTTGTCTCCCTTCCACCCCTCCTACTCCTTGCTCTGCCACTTGTATTGCCTCTCCTTCATTGTCCTCCTTTGTTTACACTTGCCTTCCTTTTTGCATTTGTATTCACACATCCACATTGTTGACCAATGCTAAACAACTTCTTCAATGTTTCTATACATTTGCATACTTCCTGCTCTGTAGTGTAAGCAACAGTCAACAAGTGCATGCTTGCAACAATACTAACATACAACCACTCTCATAGTATGACCCTCTCTTTGATACTGTACACACTCTCCTTCCCTACCCATTCTATACTTAACATCACTCTCTACAGGTCCACCCTATGTGTATTCACATTCCCTAGTGTAGCAGACAACACCATATTAAACAGAAGCAGTAGACTGCCACTTACCCCTCTTGAGCTGAGTCTGTCCATACATTCCACTTTGCCTTCTCTGTTTGAGCCAGTATGTCCCAGAGATACACCTTTACAATCCACAAAAACGACTCAGTTCACTGCTCCCCCAATTGTATGTTACAGTCAGAATATGTAGCATATGTGTACTGATACAGCTTTGTCTACAGCCTGAATCAACTTGTTCAACACTCTGGATCTTAACCTGTATACACTACTCACACTCACTACACACTGTCATAGTATGTCCACCTTTTATCTCCTATTGTCACTTACTAACTACTCTAAACCTGTCTAACAGGCACAGCCTCAACCTCTACAACCTACTCAACCTTAACACACAATTTGACTCACAGGTCCTGAGTGATGACTAAACATGGTGACAAAGACTACATCAAATGGCCCAAGGATGTGTTCATCCTTTTCTAACACAAATCCTACTCACAGAATAATGAGACAGAGGTAGCTAGTAGTGTAGAGGTTGGGACTGTAGAAATAGTGTATTATTTCCTATTTTTGTATTCTATAATTTAAATATAATTATATTTGATTAATTATTTAATATAAATTGTATAGTAAGCAAAAGAATTTAAGAAAGCTATTCAAACACTTGTAATGACTTGTAAGCATTATAAGCAGATATTATACTGTTACAAATTAACAAGTATGTCTTAACCTTGTAATTTAGGCAGTATATTATAATCACTTGTATAACTTGACAATTTATAAAATTATATTGGAAATTTCCAAGTTTTAAAAGTATTTTTTCTTACTTATTTAACATTGTACTTTCCTTACTTAACCCTCTAGGAAGATTATAAGTAATTGGACAAATTTTATAAAATATATAAAATATACAAGATTACAAGCAAGGATAATACTTAAGACTTTTTCATAATGTAGTACTAAGACAACAGAACCTTATTAAACACTGGGTGTATGTACTTCTATGTTGCTAGAAGTTAGAGTTTGTAGACAGAGGTACTAACCTTCTTTTTAATAATAAAGGGTCTGAAGCACTTGTTGTCCAACTTCTTCATTAGGTGATTCAAGGTTAGATTAGTGGCTTCCAGTATAACCTTGTCACTAGGCTGGTAATCCTTGGCTGTAGACCTCTTCCAATCATAGTTCTACTTTATAACCTGTGTTACCTTCTCTAAAAGAGCTTGTGTGTCCTTCCTGGTTCTGTGCATCTGTTCTACAAAGTCTGTTACAGATTCAGAACTACTGTTCCAGTTCAGAACTGTCTCCTAGTATGAATGTCTCTTATGATTGAGGAAGAATAAAGACTGTCCCATTGTAGAGTGTTACTAGTTATTGTACACAAATTCTGTTAGAGCTAACTATTCAGACTAATCTGATTACTAATGATTGATGAACATTCAGAGGTAGAGCTCAATCTCCTGATTGACTCACTCAGTTTGACTGTCAGTCTGTAAGTGATAGGTAGTAGAAGGGTTCCCTTAAATTCTAAGAAGTATATACAAGTCCTGTATGAATTTTGACTCAAATTACAGTCTACAATTGTGAATGAGCTTTTAAGGAAGTCTGTGTAACTAGAAGATGTAATCCTAATAAATGTATGCTATACCTTTAGAAGTGAGTTCTGTTCAGGTCAGAACTGTATAGACTTGCTTAGAGAATCAGTCAA